AAGTTTCATAGTCCTATATGTAGCTCCTGGAGGTTTTATTGACTGTAATGCTATATTGACCAGTAGAACAAACTTGCCTGACATTTTCTCTTTGCATTTCCCAAATAGTCTCTGAGTGAACATGGAAAAAAATAATCAGTTACTGAGATACTAATATCTGGCATTAGCATACAAAAACTAAGTTTATGTCATAAAAGAAGATTCTAATAGGCTAAAAACAAACCAGGAAGCAGAACCCCATTATGAGTTCTCCTATTCTAAAAATAGAGTGATGATCCCTCTACAAGTGGAGACCATGTGTTCTATAGGGTCCCAAATTTCAGCCCAATTTAAGGAGTATTGTTCTGTCTTTGGTTTTTGAATCAGAGAGAGCTAGGTTTCAATCCTGGAACCTACATTAAGCCAGTGTGACTTCAAAGAATTTGCCTAATTTTCTGAGTCTTACTTTAAGACAGAAATAATTGGCCAGGCACAGTGGCTTTTGCCTATAATCCCAGCACTTTGGGAGGCCGAGGCAGGCAGATCACTTGAGGTCAGGAGTTTGAGACCAGCCTGGCCAACATGGCAAAACTCTGTCTCTACTAAAAATACAAAAACTTATCTGGGTCAGGTGGTGCAGGTCTACAATCCCAGCCACTCAGGAGGCTGAGGCAGGAGAATCACTTGAACCTGGAAGGCAGAGGTTACAGTAAGCCAAGATTGCGTCACTGCACTCCAGTGTGGGAATAATCAATACAGTTCTTAAAGAATTCCTATTACATTTTTTTGAAATATATGAAAAGAAAATTTTAGAAAGAATAGTGCCTGATATATAATAGAAATCTGGCACACCAGAATTACTGAAAAGACGTTGTTTCAATATGATGGAAAAGATACACATGTAGCAGGCAGTTTGCTTTCTAATATTCAACATAATTTCATTCCTTTTAGCACTATGTTTGGACTTCCTAAACAGAAAGGAGAAAATCATAAATAGCTCTCATTCTGAAAAGAATAGATAAAAAGTTACTGTCAGATAAGGAATGAAAGAAGATGGAGATTGATCAGCTATAATATTTCACACAATAATTAGCTTTTGCTTGTTACTTACTGCTTCCCTAAGAATATAGGTCTTATTGGACACCTGAAGCCAAGTCAAAGAAAGGGCATTAAGTAGGTCAGGTGAAGAACATTTAATTGAGTTTATTTAATCATTCCACATCGTATACACATATCAAAACATCACACTGTGCCCCATAAACACAGACAATATAATTTGTCAATTAGAAATAAAAGAAAAAGAAAATATAAATCTTTTTAAACTTGGAGAAGAGAATAAAATGAGTTGGGTTTTATTCATGCTTTCATTTATTCAGTATTGTTAAGCAACTATTATATATACTGGAGATTTCATGGAAAACAAAAATAGTCATGGACCTGTCTTTCTGGAGCTTTTAGTTTAGGAAACAAATAATAATCAAAATCACACAAATGTGTAATTATAAACTGTAATGAGTTCAATGATGAAAAAATACAGAAAATGTAGACAGTATTTCTGAAAAACCTGAGTAAATCCACAGGCCAGAAGGACTCCCATGAGGAAGAGACAAACTGGCTGATATCGGAGAGATATAGAGGAGTCAACCAGGTGAAATGGTAGGAAGAGAACTACCAAGGCCTAGAGGGAGGAAAGAACATGGGAACGTTTAAGGAACTACACAAGAGGTATTAGGCTGGAGCACAAACAAAGAGGGGCATGGAGGCAAAATAGGGTCTTGGATGCAAAGAGAGAAGCCAGATAATTTAGAGCATATAGATCTTGCTCAATATTTTATTTCTTATATTAATTAATGAATGGCTTTAAACAGAGTAGTGACATTATTGAAATTGCGTTTCTAAGTGCTGACTATTCTTAAAGAATGACCTGGAGAAAGATAAAAGTTGTTGCTGAGAGAATTATGAAGCTCATGCCATTGTTCAGAAAACAGATATATTAGCTTCATCTATGATGACAATAAAAACAGAAAGAAGTAGATGGATTCAAGTTAGGAAGCAGGTTTATTTGCTTAAACTTGTTAGTAGACTAGATATGGAGGGCAGGAGGAGGTGGAATGACAGCTGAAGGTTTGATTTGGGTCAGAAGAAGGGAGATAGAAAAGGCAGCTATAAGTGTCAAATTACCCTTCTCAGTTGACATTATGCTCTGACTGATATGTCCTCATATCAAGGAATCCCTACTGGGAGAAAGTAGGAAAGCATATATGTAAGTAGGATGGGCTTGGCCCAAATACACTGCCTTCTTGTCTTTTTCTGACGAATATGAAGAATTTGATGGTCTAGATAATCTTCTGAGTATACAGATGCAGTTTGTGGTGGCCAGCCTACACAACATCCCTAAAGGCTTTGTAGCAGGAGAATCTAATACCTGAGACCCTATAGAACAGATGTTCTCCACTTATAGAGATCATCACTCTATTTTTAGAATAGGAGCACTCATAATGGGCTTCCACTTCCTGGTTTGTTTTTAGCCTATTAGAATCTTTTTTTATGGTATAAGCTTAGTTTTTGTTTGCTTATGCCAGGTATTAGTATCTCAGGTATCTCTGTGATGGTTAATACTCAGTGTCAACTTCACTGGATTGAAGGATGCAAAGTATTGATCCTGGGTGTGTCTGTGAGGGTACTGCCAAAGGAGAGTAACATTTGAATCAGTGGTATGGGAAAGCAGACCCGCCCTTAATCTGGGTGGGCACAATCTAACCAGCTGCCAGCATGGCCAGAGTAAAAAGCAGGCAAAAGAACATGAAAAGACCAGACTGGCTTAGCCTCCCAGTTTACATCTTCCTTCTGTGCTTGATGCTTCCTGCCCTTGAACATCAGACTTTACGTTCTTCAGCTTTGGAATTCCAACCGGCTTCCTTGCTCCTCAACTTACACATGATTTATTGTGGGACCATGTGATTATGTGAGTTAATATTCCTTAATAAACTCCTCTCTCACTCTTTCTCTCATATAGTGTATATATTTATAAATACACTAAACTCCTTGCTTCTCATGAGCAGTGAATCAGGAGTGTTAAATGCATTTATTTTGTGTAACTTTCTAAACAGCTAATACCAAGGACTATCAGTGTTCTATATATATATTTTATTAGTTCTGTCCCTCTAGAGAACCCTGGCTAATACAGATTTAGGTACTAGGAGTGGTTCTAGAGGAACAGAATATTAAGGATGGAGTTCCTTCATGGTTTAGGGGATTCTAGAGTTGGCTGCTTAATATGATTAGACCCAAAAATGCTAAGGACTATACTTCTAATAGTATGGAGAACACTGATAGTCCTTGGTATTAACTGTTTAGAGAATCATGCAAAATAAATGCATTTAACACTCCTGATTCATGGCTCATGAGAGGCATTTAGTGACTCTATACATAATACCTTTGACTATATGTGGAGAACCAAGGAATATAATGAAGTTGTTTGGTTGCTCCTAAGTTCACTGGAAAAAGTGATAAAAGAAAATGATGAATTCGAGGATTCTAACTCCTGGCTTCAGAAGCAGATACTGAATGTCAAATCTGTTAAGATTGCCCTGAGTGAGAATCTTATCTCCTGTAGAGAAAGAGCTGAAATTGTGGAAAATCAGACACAAGTTGTTATCATGCAAGTGACTGACCTGCAATGAAAGGTGCATGCACAGTCTCACCAGGTGTCTACTATTAAAGTGAGGGCATTGATTGGAAAACAATGAAACCCTACAACTTGGAATGGGGATGTGTGGGAGGACCCTGATGAAGCTAGGGATACTGAGCTTGTAAACTCTGATGAAGCTTTTTTGCCAAAAGAAACAGCTTCCCCATCCCCAGTAGAGGCAACATCCCCTCCCCAACCCATGCTGCCGTCAACCTTTCCACCTTTGTCTGAGGAGATAAACCATGTGCTGCCTGAGGTAAAAGTGATGGCCTCTCCTGAGGTAGTTTCCAGCAAGATAATGTTGATTCTCCTCAGGAGCCACCCCCAACACCTCTGTTTGCTTCTAGACCTATAACTAGATTAAAGTCCTAGCAGGCCCCTACAGGTGAGGTTTGGGGTGTGACCCACGAGGAGATATGCTACACTTGAACTGCTTGAGTTTTCTAATTTAGATAAGGAGAAATCTAGAGGATAGGCATGGGAATGAATACTAAGGGTGTGGGATAATGGTGGAAGGAACATAGAGTTGGATCAGGCTGAATTTATTTATTTGGGCCCACTAAACAGGGATTCTGTATTCAGTGTTGCAGCTTGGGTAGTTAAAAAGGGTTCCAATAGTTTATCTGCTTGGTTAGCTGAAATATGGATTAAAAGATGACCCACTGTGAGCGAGTTAGAAATGCCTGATCTCCCTTGGTTTAATGTAGAGGAAGGGATCCAAAGGCTTGAGGAGATTGGGATGCTAGAGTGGATTAGTCACTTGAGACCTACTCATCCCAACTAGGAGGGTCCAGAAGATATACCCTTAACCAGTGCTTTGCGAAATAGATTTGTGAGGGCAGCGCCTGCATCTTCAAAAAGTTCTGTGATTGCTCTTCTCTAAATGCCAGATCTAACAGTGGGAACCACAGTCACTCAACTACAAAATTTAAACGCAATGGGAATACTTGGATCCTGAGGTAGCAGAGGCCAAGTGGAGGCACTCAACCTTCAAAGGCAAGGTGGATGTAGCTACCATAATGGACAGCAGAGGCAAAGCAGCAATCATAATAGTCTGACTTATGTAGAGTTCTGGCATTGGCTAATTAATCATGGTGTACCTAGAAGTGAAATTGATAGGAAGCCTACTGCATTTCTACTTAGTTTATATAAGCAGAAAACTTCCAAGTTGATTGGACAAAAGACTAATTTGAATTATAAAAGCAAAGAATCATGGCCCTTCAATTAATTTCCAGACTTGAGTCAGTTTACAGACCCTGAACCCCCTGAGTGAAGGGTAGGCCAGGTCCCCTTGAGGAAGTACCCCACTACACTACCAACAATTTATGCTATTAATCTTTTTCCCATCCTTCTGCAAGGAGACCTCCACACTTTTATCAGAGTAACTGTGCAATGGGGAAAGGGAAATAATCAGACATTTTCAGGACTACTAGACACTGGCTCAGAGCTGACGTTGATTCTAGGGGACGCAAAACATCATTGTGGTCCTCCAGTTAGAGTACAGGTTTATGGAGGTTAGGTAATTAATGGAGTTTTAGCTCAGTTTCAACTTACAGTGGGTCCAGTGGGTCCAGTGGGTCCCCAGACTCATCCTATGGTCATTTCCCCAGTGCCAGAATGCATAATTGGCATAGACATACTTAGTAGCTGGGAGAATGCCCACATTGGTTCCCTGACTGATAGGGTGGGGACTATCATGATGGGAAAGGCCAAATGGAAACCATTAGAGCTGCCTCTACCTAGGAAAACTAGTAAATCAAAAACAATATTGCATCCCTGAAGAGATTGTGGAGATTAGTGCCACCATCAAGGTCTTGAAAGATACAGGGGTGGTGATTCCCACCACATCCCCATTCAGCCCTCCAATTTGGCCTGTGTGGAAGACAGATCGATCTTGGAGAATGACAGCAGATTATTATAAGCTTAGCCAATTAGTGACTCCAACTGCAGCTGCTGTACCAGATGTGGTTTCACTGCTTGAGCAAATTAACACAATTCGTGGTACCTTTATGTAGCCATTGACTTGGAAAATGCCTTTTTCTCTATTCCTGTCCCTAGGGCCTACCAGATGCAATTAGCCTTCAGTTGACAAGGCCAACAATATACCTTTACTGTCCTACCTCAGGGGTATATCAACTCTCCAGCTTTGTGTCATAATCCTGTTCAAAGAGACCTTGATCGCTTTTTGCCTCCACAAGATATCTCATTGGTCTGTTACATTGATGACATTGTGCTGATCAGATCCAGTGAGCAAGAAGTAGCAAACACAATGCACTTATTAGTGAGACATTTGCATGGCAGAGGATGGGAAATAAATTCAACAAAGATTGAGAGAACTACTACCTTAGTAAAATTTCTAGGGGTTCAGTAGCGTGGGGTCTGTCGAGATATTCCTTCTATGGTGAAGGATAAGTTGCTGCATTTGGCCCCTCCTACAACCAAGAAAGAGGCACAATGCCTAGTAGACATATTTGGATTTTGGAGGCAACACATTCCTCATTTATTATTCACTCGGCCCATTTATCACGTAACCTGAAAGGCTGCCAGTTTTGACTGGGGTACAGAACAGGAGAAGGCTCTTGGAAGCAACAGATCCAAGCTGCTGTGCAAGCTGCTCTGCGCTTGGGCCATATGACCCGGCAGATCCAATGGTGCTTGAGGTGTCAGTGGCAAACAGGGATGCTGTTTGGAGCACCTGGCAGGCCACCATAGGTGAATCATAGCAGAGGTCTCTAGGATTTTGGAGCAAGGCTCTGCCATCTTCTGCAGATAACTACTCTCCATTTCAGAGACAGCTCTTGGCCTGTTACTGGGCTTTGGTGGAAACTGACCTTTTGACTATGGGTCATCAAGTCACCCTGAGACCTGAACTGCCTGTCATGAACTGGGTGCTTTCTGCCCTATCTAGCCATAATATGGGTCATGCACAGCAGCATTCCATCATAAAAAGAAGTGGTATATACATGATCCAGCTCAAGCAGGTCATGAAGGCACAAGTAAGTTACATGGAAATGGCTCAAATGCCCATGGTCTTTACTCCTGCCACCCTGCCTTCTCTCCCCCAGCCTGCACCAATGTCCTCATGAGGAGTTCCCTGTGCTCAGTTGACAAAGGAAGAGAAGACTAGGGCCTGGTTCACAGATGGTTCTGCATGATATGCAGGCACCACCCAAAAGTGGACAGCTGCAGCACTATAGCCCCTTTCTAGGACATCTCGGAAGGACAGAGGTGAAATCTTCCCAGTGGGCAGAACTTTGAGCAATGCACCTGGTTGTGCACTTTGCATGGAAGGAGAAATGGCCAGATATGCGATTATGATTCATGGGCTGTAGAGAATGGTTTGGCTGGATGGTCAGGGACTTGGAATAAGCATGATTGGAAAATCAGTGACAAAGAAATTTGGGGAAGAGGTATGTGGATGGACCTCTCTGAGTGGTCAAAAACTGTGAAGATATTTGTATCCCATGTGAGTGCTCACCAAAGGGTGACCTCAGCAGAAGATTTTAATAATCAAGTGGATAGGATTACCCGTTCTGTGGACACCACTCAGCCTCTTTCCCCAGCCACCTCTGTCATTGCCCAACAGGCCCATGAACAAAGTGACCATGGTGGCAGGGATGGAGGTTATGCATGGGCTCAGCAACGTGGACATCCACTCACCAAGGCTGACCTGGCTACGGCCACTGCTGAGTGCCCACTTTCCCAACAGCAGAGACAACACTGAGCCCTCAATATGGGACCATTCTTCAAGGTGATCAACCAGCTACCTGGTGGAAAGTTGATTATATTGGACCTCTCCCATCATGGAAAGGGATGAGGTTGGTCCTAACTGGAATAGACAGTTACTCTGGATATGGGTTTACCTATCCTGCATGCAATGCTTCTGCAAAGACTACCGTCCATGGACTCACAGAATGCCTTATCCACCATCATGGTATTCCACACAGCATTGCCTCTGACCAAGGCACTCACTTTACTGCTAAAGAAGTGTGGAAGTGGGCTTGTGCTCAAAGAATTCACTGATCTTACTATGTTCTCCATCATCCTGAAGTAGCTGGATTGATAGAACAGTGGAACGGCCTTTTGAAGTCACAATTACAACACCAACTAAGTGATAATACTTTGCAGGGCTGGGGCAAAATTCTCCAGAAGGATGTGTATGCTCTGAATCAGCATCCAATATATGGTACTGTCTCTCCCATAGCCAGGATTCACAGGTCCAGGAATCAAGGGGTGGAAGTGGAAGTGGAAGTGGCACCACTCACCATCATCCCTAGTAATCCACTAGCAAAATTTTTGCTTCCTGTTCCCACGACACTATGTTCTGCTGGCCTAGAGGTCTTTGTTCCACAGGGAGAAACACTGCCACCAGGAGACATAACAAAAGTTCCATTAAACTGGATGTTAAAATCACCACCTGGACACTTTGGGCTCCTCCTACCATTAAGTCAACAGGCCAAGATGGAGTTACAGTGTTGGCTGGGGTAATTGACCCGGAGTATCAAGATGAAATCAGTCTACTACTCCACAATGAAGGTAAGGAAAAGTACGAATGGAATACTGGAGATCCATTAGGGTGTCTCTTAGTATTACCATGCCCCGTGATTAAGGTCAATGGGAAACTACAACAACCCAATCCAGGCAGGACTACAAATGGCCCAGACCCTTCAGGAATGAACGTTGGGGTCACTCCACCAGGAAAAAAAAACCATGACCTGCTGAGGTGCCTGCTGAAAGCAAAGGGAATACAGAATGGGTAGTCATCAATACCAGCTATGACCATGTAACCAGCTACAAAAAGACGACTGTAATTTTCATCAGTATTTACTCCTTTTGTTAAAAACATGTTTGTGCATGTATACACTTGTACTAAGAAAAAGTTTCATTTTATTTCCTTTTTCCTTTATCACATGACATAGGATTTACTTACTTCATATAAGCATTTAAGTGCTATTAACTTTATAATAGCATTTGGATTGGGGCTTGGTTCATTTCTGGTTTTAGGAAGGATAGTTATATTATGTTAGGTGTAATTATGACCTTATTATTGTCTTTATTTGAAGATTATATACGATCTCAGGAGATGTGCATGGGTTCAAGTTGACAAGGGGTGGATTTGTGATGATTAATACCAAGTGTCTACTTGATTGGATTGAAGGAAGCAAAGTATTGATCCTGGATGTGTCTGTGAGGGTGTTGCCAAAGAAGATTACTATTTGAGTCAGCAGGCTGGGAAAGGCAGACCCACCCATAATCTGGGTGGGCCCCATCTAATCAGCTGCCAGTGAATATAAAGCAGCAGAAAAACATAAAAAGGCTAGACTGGCTTAACCTCCCTGTCTCTATGTTTCTCCCGTGCTAGATGCTTCCTGCCCTCAAACACTGGACTCCAAATTCTTCAGCTTTGGGGCTTGGACTGGCTTCCCTGCTCCTCAACTTGCAGACAGCCTGTTGCAGGACCTTGTGATCATGTGAGTTAATACTCCTTAATAAACTTCCACATATATATATATATCTCCTATTAGTTCTGTTCCTCTAGAGAACCCTGACTAATACAGGCCCTCACTTCTTTGTATTTCACACACACATATAATTAACACTGAATGTGGGCTGGCACCCATGTGACTAATAGAACACAGTGGAAGTTCAATGAATTGGTAAACACCTAGTATACTGCAGGCACTCTTAAAAGCAATGAGAAGACCATAATAAAATATACCACAAATTAGTGAGTGTAGAAGTAGGAATGGTAACATTTTACATTTTATCATGTGACAATTTTGATGAGATGTACATTACTGGGGAAAAATTTTAAATCTGGTATATCTTTAATATGAGCAATACTTATTACTTCTGACCCAGAATAATGCTCTATACTTAGCAGGCACTCTGTAAATGTTCATTGAATTAAATTGATTTGGCCATAGAGATCTTTCTGAATATGTCAATTAAATTACAAATAGGATAAATGAAAAAGAATTATATTCTTCACTGAGCATTGGGATTTACACACTGCACTTTATTTACTTACTGCCAATAAATTTGTAACTTCCTAGTCTTTGTACACTTCTATGATTTCATACCCATACAGAGTAAATGGAAGCAGGCCAGTACCTCGGATGTCAGGTTGGTAACAGCTCCTTGGAATACTACTAATTCTGGAACTAGTCAAGTAGTTTTTCACATTTGAGTATAGATCATTCCTATCATATATCGTGTTTGTTGGCTATTTGCTGACAATGATGTGACCTTTTCTAAAAAGGACAAAAATAATAATGGCAATTAGTACTGGGTAGAGAAATCAATAAAAATATTATACACATACACACACACACTACAGGATTTAAATAGAATTGCATTAGCAAATAAATCATAAACTTCCTACATAGGTAAATTTGAGCAAGTTAAAATGGTTTCCTTAGATGTATATTAAACTCAAGAGCTGAAGAAAATGTTCTGGTCCCAATTTACCTAGTTTGTTCTACCTTGAGAAATTAACACACTGTACGCCTTGTTAATATATAAGTATGCCCCATATAATTATATGTATATATAATCCATACACACACACACACACACACACATATTGACTAGAAGCCTACAGTAGCAAGGACTTGCAAAATATTAAGTGACTGAAAAAGTCATAGAAGTGAAAATTAATGTATGCTATTTTTAAGCACTTAGTAATGATATGCATGAAGAGGTAAAAAGAAATTTTTTCAATTACAGAACATACTAAATTAGAAGTGTTACCAGTGCCAAGAAGGAAAGAGCAATCATAAAGAAGGAAAAATAAAGATTAGACATATGGGGCAAGAAATAACAAGATGAGATGAAGTTGAGAAGTACAAAGTGATGCATAAAAAATAATAATTTAGAATATAAACCTACTACAGTGGAGAGAGATAATTAGAAAATTGCAAGAAAGAAAAGACTGGGCAACAAAATGGACAGTGAACTGAATGAGAACAATAAGGTAACATTAGAAAACATTGGAAAAGTATCATCGGCTTGCATATGAAATAACTCATTATAGATTATTAAATTATAGTATGTGATTCTACATAGTATGTGTCATCTTTCTGTATGTGCAGGTAACTGTGCTTTACATATATTGTAATCTCTGTAGACAGCACGCGGATTATTAGGGAGAAAACCAAAAAATAAAAACGAAAATTTAGAAAATCATTTTTAAAAGTATTTTAAGTCTGGGATACAAAAATAGCAAAATCTTGAAATTCATGAGTCTTGAGACTTTTCAAGCATTAGGAAAGCATATAATTTACCTCTTAAATGCAGTACAGCAGTTTCTTCAGTGTTAATGTAGAAAGTGACAATGCTACAGTGAGATTCAAAGAGTAACCACACTTTCTCCCACACTCACTAATGACTCAGTCCCTAAATCCAGTGTCATGATTCTAATCTGCAACTCAGTAAAGTGGCAAATTATAAATAACAATATGTGATCCACCTCTAGGGTCATATGCAGGTAGTTTTACCTGGTAAATATCAACATTTATACTAAAATATACTGGTGTAATTATCTGAATGCAAACTTGCAGCTCCGGACTTTGTATTTTAATAAACATCCAAAAATATTTGGGTACAAATAGCCCTTAGCCTACAGAAGGGGTTAATATTAAGTGTATAATTCTAATGAGATACACTATACTTTGATCCAATGATAGCAAATAGAATGATACAGCACCTTCCAGGGATAACAAATTGGCCATTCAATTACGTGTGAGCTGAAAACAAAACTAGCATGTTGTATAATAAAGACATTCCTAAAGGTTTTAGTCTAACTGTAAGACAAGGAAAGAGAATAATGGCCTCTCAAGTTGACTTCTAAATCCGGATTTTCATAATAGTACAGATTATCACTGTAAGACAGTTCAGACTTTTTTTTTTTACTTTTTAAACTGAAAAGCAAAAACGCTTTATATGTATTATCATATAGGAAACCATACTTCTTTAGCAGAACTAGTAATAATTATGGTTCTAAAGATTGACTTGTAGTCTTTCATCAATTATAAAATCAAACACCTTCATTTCTCATTATTATTGTTACAGTGCATAAATAAATCAGCATACAGCTTTCATTATACTGACTATGTTAGAAAAAATTTACCTAGAAGATACTTGGATAAATGTCTCAGTGTTTTGTGGTTTTTCCAGTAGAATTGTTTCTGTTATTAAAGAATATAAGATGAGTTTGCAGTGCTTTCTGCATTCCCTGCCTTGTGTCTCAACATTAGATACAAATCTGCTGTAACCTTGGGACTCAGTAGTAATGAATAAGCTATTAACTATACTGAGGGTGAGTATAGCAATGTATAATCTCAACAATTCTGTAGCATAGGCTATTAAAGTTACCACTGAGAAAAGAAACCAGCCAAAGTAGAAAAAAAAAAACCCATAAAATTAAATAAAAACAAGGCCAATTTTGCCTGATGTTGAAAGATTGAGAAGATTCACAGTGCAGGACAAGCAATTTAATTGAAGAAAAGCAGTGTATTCATTCAAAATTACCCCACTTTGCTTATAGTTCTGTTTTAGGTATTACTTTGATGTCAACATTACCTTAGCTAGTGCTGCTCTATCTTTCATGTTCTAGAAATTATTGTACATTGGGGATTTCTATTGTTTTTTTTTTTTTTTTTTTTGTCCAAAAATGGCACCAGCAAAATGTGAAGCATTCCAAACCTGTTACTTCAACTCACTGTAAGGTTTGTCTGTAAGGTGAGATCTTTTTCATTGTTCTTCCAAATAGAGTAGGTGGCCTGGTTGCTAGCCAAATGGTCAAAATCAAAGCAGAATCTTAGGGTATTTGTACTAACATAAGCTCTGCTACCTCAGGTCATCTGAAAGAGGAGAAGATGGAGGGAGCATGTGTAGGTCTTCCAGGAAGAGATGAGAGTCTTGAACACCAAGTGAAAAGGTAAAGATAGAATCTGAGTGGTAAGAATAAAGATGTAAAATGGAAGTGGGGTTATAGCCAGACAATAATAGGCAGAGTTTGTTCCAGACGTTCATTGCTAATAGCCTTAGGGTATCTTTCATTAATAGAGTGACTTTATCACTTCGGTTTATCATCCGTTATGATTTACAGATATGAGAGGGAGGAGAACAAACCAAACTTTTCTGACTCCAATTAAAAGATACTTTGCAAGATAGAGTACATGAGAAATTTGCAGTGCGCTTACTTAGTGCCTCTGCTTTCCAAGGAATGAGAAGGACCTAACCAAATGGTCCTGTCCACACTCTAGAAATCAGAAACTATGTTGCTTCATTGCTTTATGAAAGTATATTTTAGAATTTAAAAAGATGTCTGTGGTTATCCTGGCATACCATATTCAGTGATTGCTTTTTTATGTTGGGCTATCAGGCAGTCTTAGGTGTCTCAGTTTATGTTCAAGAGATTTAAAGGAAATTAAGTAAGAAATCTGCTCTGAGATTCCTTAAGTGTCTTTGAGGAGCTTAATGGGAGGAGGAGGATAAGAAAGGCAGAATCCAACCAGTCACCTTTGCTTTTGGCAAGGTTTGTTTTTAAAACCACAGCTTTTAATACCTTATATTCCTGATTCTCATTTAAAAGTATCATGCAAAACAGAAGATAGTGCTAAAACAGAACAAGGTTAAGATAGTAGTTTATGCATGGTGAAAAACAAATTATAAAAATAGACAGCTATGGTCAACATTCAAATGGATCCAAATATCAAACAACCTTAAAGAATCAAGCAAGGACTTTTATCTGAATTTTTAGAATTTCTTGGAGCAATGATAAGTGGAAATATAAAGAGCAAAGATAATGGAAATTCTGAAGTCCCATAAAGGGGCAATTTTGGATAGGCAACACTGCATGTAAAATTTTTATCAAACTTAAGATTTCAGATTGAAAACTAGAGGCAGAGGGATCCTTTCAAGGCACTTTCAAGACATGATAGAGTGTCATTTTTAAAAGCATAGTTCTTTTGAGTTCTGGCCTGCTTCTTAGCTCTTTGGGCTCAGGTAAGTCCCTCTGAGGTTTCTCTTTTTTTCATCTATAAGGTAACAATTAAAGAACTACCTACATACTTTTAGACCAGTGCTGTGAAGGTATAAGGGAAAAAAAGAAATATACAAAAGTGTTACAAAAGTGAAATGTGCCACACAAATATGAAGTTGTTACTGCTTACCTGAGGAGACAGTCTTGCTTCTGTGCTCTGCAGGACTCTGGCTATTGCTTTCTACAGCAGCATAAAATAGTCTGGCACTTGCAACATCTTCTAGATATCACCTCCTTATCCTTTGACCACTTCATCTTTAGTCTGTACACTTAAGCAAATGCCATGCTCGTTAGCACTCCTTCACAAACTAACAAGGCTTAAGAGGCAAAAATAAACTAGCAGGTGATTATATGAGTAGTTTATGTTTTTCCTGGAAAGTGATCTCATCTCTGGTGTCTTTTGAGATACTGTGAGTGTCTTGTTGGTAGCCGAACTCCATAATATTCAGGAGACCTAAATGCTGGGATTGATCCCTTTCCACCCCTCTATCATCTTTGGCCAATTAAGTTTTCTCAGTTTCATAGTTACAGGTGTCTCTTCTGACCCCAACCAGCCATCTGAACATGATTGCCCAGAGTCAAAGGACATTCCAGAAGAGAGATGCTGGAAAAGTCATTATTCTCAGCAAACTAACATAGGAATAGAAAACCAAACACTGCATGTTCTCACTTATAAGTGGAAGCTGAACAATGAGCACACATGGACACACAGGGAGGAGAACAACACATACTGGGGCCTTTGGGGGTGACAGGGGGAGGGAGAGCATCAGCATAAAGAGCCAATGCATGTGGGACTCAATAACTAGGTGATGGGCTGATAGGTGCAGCAAACCACCATGTAACAAATCTACGCATCCTGCACATGTATCCCAGAGCTTAAAGTAATATAAAATAACATTTTAAAAAAAGAAATACACTGGTAAAATCCAGTTTCCAAGGGTAAAAGAACAATATTAGAGAATCAAGTTGATTGATTGGTTGATTGATTGTAGAGATGAAGCCTGCCTATGTTGCCCAGGTGGTCTTGAACTGCTGGGTTCAAGCGATTCTCCCACCTCAACCTCCCAAAGTGCTGGGATTACAGGCATAAGCCACCGTATCTAGCCTGAGAGTCAAATTTAAATGTCAGTAATAACTTCAAT